GTCAAACGATGAGCAGGACAGGAGGAGGTATGCAAGAGCCAGGAACCAAGCAAAGTCAGAGAGTAGAAGGGCTGAAAAGGAGTTCCAGAGGCTGGTTGCAAGCGAGGTCAAGTCAAACAAAAGGCGTTTTACCGCTATGCAAAGTCGAAATTAAAAACGCGAGTAGGAGTATCAGACCTGAGGCTTGAAGATGGTAGTTACGCAGATTCTGACCAGGACAAAGTGAAGGCATTGAGCAGTTTCTTTTCTTAGGTGTTCACAAGAGAGGATGCGAACAATCCTCTAGCGTTTGAGGACAGACGGCTCTACACAGTGCTGACCCACACTGTGTGCTCAGAAGAGGGTCTAAGAAACAAATTATCAAAGCTAAAGATTCACAAGAGTCCCGGCCCTGACATGGGGCATCCCAGAGTGCTAAGAGAGTTGTGCCTGGATGAGCAAAAGGTCCCAAGTGATTGGAAAATGACAGTGTGAGCCGTATCTTCAAGAAAGGCGACCGTCACTCCACGAACAACTGTAGACCAGTGAGCCTGACTAGCATAGTATGTAAAGTACTTGAGAGCGTTATAAGGGATGCCATGATGGAACCTACTACGAAACAACCTTGTAAAGGATTACCAACACGGTTTTATGCCGAGACGCTCCTGCTTAACACAACTACTCAAGGTACTGGATGTTTGGACCAAATTCTGGAACAGGGTGATAATATCGACAATTATACCTAGATTTTGCCAAGATTTTCGGCAACGTTCCCCATGAAAGGCTGAAAATTAAACTAGAAGGGCATGGGATTCGGGGAAGTGAAACTGACCCAGGGTGTTGCAAGGGTGAACGGAAATAAAGTCACAGGAAACAAAAATCACAAAAAATCACAATTTTGGATAGGAAAAAAGACCCAATTTATTTAAATATCGTTAACAGTTAAAGCAATAAAACAAAAAATATTTTTATTCACTTATTAACTGACAACACATGACTTGTACACACTGACAACACAATTTATGTTTTGTTTTTGTTTCAGGGATTAGCCCACCCGGGCACAGGTCACTGACCCACATCAAGGCCTGGCCTAGCCTAACCTAACCTAGCCACAGCTCGTGACTCACTACAGCAAACCTCAGCTCATGACTCACTACAGCCAGCCACACCTCGTGACTCACTACAGCCAGCCACAGCTCATGACTCACTACAGCCAACCACAGCTCATGACTCACTACAGCAAACCACAGCGCATGACTCACTACAGCCAGCCACAGTGCGTGACTCCTTGCAGCCAGCCACAGCTCATGACTCACTACAGCAAACCACAGCTCATGACTCCCTACAGCCAGCCACAGTGCGTGACTCCTTGCAGCCAGCCACAGCTCATGACTCACTACAGCAAACCACAGCTCATGACTCACTACAGCCAGCCACACCTCGTGACTCACTACAGCAAACTTCAGCTCATGACTCAATACAGCCAGCCACACCTCGTGACTCACTACAGCAAACCTCAGCTCATGACTCACTACAGCCAGCCACAGCTCATGACTCACTTCAACATCGCCGCTAGTCAACGTCTCGTTCGGTAACCCTCACAGTATCTATGTTAGGAAGCTTTCATCGTGTGTTGACCTTGTCCCTGTCAAAGGTTTGGGTGGGTGGGTGCTCTTTTACTGTCTTGACGTGAACTTTGTCAAGTATTGGGGAGGACCATCATTGGTGTGGTGAGTGTGGCCGTAACAATGCATTTGGTATGGGAGGGGACGACCTTGACAATTAGCTCTATAGCAATATTTTATTTCTCTGACATTAACCTTTTTACATTGTGCATGAGAGGTGTCGTCCAATCGCCAGAAAAAATCAAGAGTGATAAGTGAAGAGGGGCGTTGGCATGACGCTACACAAGATGTTAGTAGCTTCTTGGTTAAAGTTTCATGGGGATAATGGTGGCAGGAACGGGGAGTTTGGTTAATTCTCGACATAAAAGTAACCGCCGCTCGGGGTGGTCCTCAGTGTGTCAGGAGGCTACTACACTCGTCCACCCACCTACGTGTTATAGTTCTCCTTTACCCGTAAAACTGCCATGCCCAAAGTAAGTGTGTTATAAGTAAGCCGAGGTCATTTGTAATTATGCCATAAAACAGAACCTTTAACGGGCTTTGTATTCTTCATCATTCACATACGGAGAATTTATCGTTATAATATCCGCATATATTTTTCAGCAAGAATATCGACCAATAGGATGACACACCCTACTAATTAAAAATATCAACTAACTTCACAATGTGTTTTGGATCCAGGGATAAAATGTTTTTATGTGTAATGCAAAAAAATAAATAAAAAAATAAAAAAATACCAATTAACAACGGTTTGTTCTGACGAACTTTTAAAGTAATTAATATAAGGCTGCTAAAGGCGGTGTTGTCTAAGCGAAAACAACGAGAAAGTACTGGCAAGGGCTTGCTTGGAAATACAGGAAAATAATTAAACATCTTCAAAAGCCACACGTCTTACCATCATATCATAGATTAAAATTACGAACGGAAAGATCACGCGAGGCTGAGCTGGATGTCTTTTCACTCTCTCTCTAATTGCGGACGAATCCACCTCGGACGAATATACAGTTTGGTTAAATATTAAATAACCAAGCTTACAGTATGTATGATGAATATTGTGAACACATAAACATACATTAATACGCAATTAGAGTATAAAATAACTTGTCACAATACTTAGCATTCATTTTATTAAGACTTAGACACTATTTACTATACTTTACTATATGAGTTTACATCCATTATCTCTTCTAAGTAAATCTCCGTCGTATTGTTGTTGGAAGCTCTTAGTTTTCCTAGGAAATGACCGACAAAGGGCAACCGTACACTGTCATGACTTTCTCGTAAGCGATACACACAGCTGAGCACTCGCGCTCAATTAAATTTCTTACCCTGATGTTTGGATAATAAATAACCAAATAAGGTGGCCAGGGGATGTATATTATAGTTCAGCGACACGTAAGCTTACCACACCGCCTCCATGCATCTTCACGCGTACAGTAACACACAGCCTTCTGTTTTTATTTATTCAATGTTGGTTTTTAGCTACTATATTAACGAATACTTAAACGAAATCTTGTATATTATTATGAACGCAGCTAAACCAAGTACATGACGTTATCAGTATCGAATGTGAAATTTGCTGTATTTTATCTCAATAATGTGACGCTGGATGTTACCAACATCTACTGTATTAAATGTAAAACATTGAGGGGGAAAAAACAATATTATGAGTTCTACCTAAATATCTTAACTTAATCCTCTTCGCCACTTATTAGTCTGTTATGCCGCTTGGTCGGTCGGCCACGTCTCTTTTATGCACTGTTGGCAAGTACTGGGTAAGTAGTAAGTACTCGCTCCAGATTGCATCAGCACCTGAGCCAGTTTTAGTCAAGTCTGGTCTTAAATGAGTTCACCCTTGGTGCCGTCACAACATTCTGTGCAATACATTATCTAATAAAGAGTTTTCGTGTGTATTAATAATGTGTATTTTTTTTAAAGCTGGTAAGTGTACTCGTATTCTAACAGTGTTTCTGTCTTTCTTCTTACAAGTTAAGACCACCAGTGTGGAGGTGGACCTGGAGTGGAATGATCTGTGTGGCCGCCTCCTTTTCCTTGACAACTATAACACTGGACTTTTCTCCTCTGGCTGATGCCTCGTTAGTTACAGTGACCTCCTGGTCTCTCACTGCCATGAACTCCTCCATAACACCCCTCCAGGACCTGACCTCAGACCAGTACCCTCTTTATTATCCAGCATCAAACCTCACGGACCCGGGCACAGGTTCTCCTGGCGGGTGGGTGGCGGGCATTGACAGAAACCTCCGCCAGGCCAAGCTGCGGGTTCCACTTGGGATGCCTCAGCGAACACCCACACTACAGGTGGTCCATCTGCTGCGCCAAGCCGTCCACCTCCACCTGCCTGGGTGCCAAAAGGTGAGACTTGAGTTTTCAGTGTAAAATTAAAGCAAACTCTTGTTAAAATTACCTGATAAGAGCTATATATATTACTGCTATATTAATTTGACTCAAATTATTTTTATGTTGATAGTAGCACTAATAATACACTATTTCCCTGCACCTCAGAATAAAATGAACTTAATGTTAAAGCGTAAGGGTATGAAAGTTTAAAGAATGGCCGTTTAAGCTATTAATCAAAAACTGAATCATTGATACTTACTGTACAAAAGTATATTCTGAGAATTTTATAATTACTGTACTTAATATATCTTATAACAAGTAAAAGAAATGTGGTGGCCGAGTGGTTGCAACACTTGCCGTCCTTCCGAAGGGTCACTTGTTCAATCCCGTGGAACACCCAGTTTACCCAGCGGTAAGTGGGTACCTAACTTTATATTGTGTAAGTCAAGGCGGACGAGTACAGTGTCGGCCACATTTCCTTCTAGTGTAGTGAGGAGTTCAAGTGCTGATCCATGTCCCTAATGGGCCTTCAGGCCGGTGGAACCCATTTTCACTTTTTACATTCGGCCATAAATTTGTTCAGTACAAAGATCACAGTCAACGAGAATACTAAACTGATACAGTAATGCTCTCAGCTCTACATTATAACACTTTTGAAAATATTGGCTGTGGATATTCCTTCCATTATGAAAGGTATGACAGTGTGAATACATCACAATGCACACTAAGCCTTCGGTACACCAGGAGGCAGCGGACACTGCACTCGACCACTTTCACCTCCCCAACTGTAAAGTTAGTTACCCATTTAAAACTGAGTGGAATGGGAGTGCACCGGGATCGAACTAGCTACCTACTGAACATGAAGCGAATACTATACCACTCGGCCACCGCACTCCTTATATCAACAATTAAATAATCATTAATCTTGAAAGCCGTCCTACACTTGGGTACTTTCAGGCTGTGCTTTACAAGGCTGGGAGCAACTGTACCAAACAGGGCGGGAAGGACGACCTGTTTTATGACCTAGTGAGTGAGCTAATGGCGCAGTGGGAAGAAGACAGCTTGTTGTGGGAGCTGGACACCTTCTTGGCGACGCCTCCACCACACTACTACATCTACCAGAGACGTCACCGGAACATCCAAAGCAACCACTGCATCGCCTTCATCACTCTAGCTGATTTGAATGTGAGTCACGTTACCTAGAGAGAGAGAGAGAGAGTATACATGTGGTACTTAATAACGCTACTTCTACGATGCGAATATAAAATTAAGAGCTACAAGAATTACGATAACTATAGTACCTGGACCATTACAAGAGTATAATAAAGAACAATTTAGATATGAACAAATTCTTGACCCATAAAGATCCCATTTTGGAGGTAATATTTTGACCCATAACCTCGGCACTACAGAAGGTGGGAGACGCCTTCATCACCATACAGCGTGGGTCATGGTTCGTCGGTTCCACTAAGTACATTTTGGCTTTTACTGGTAACCCTGTGAGCGCCACCCAACTGTCTTCTCACCCCGTCCTTGGTGAGTTGTACCTCCTACCCGTCCTTGGTGAGTTGTTCCTCCTCCCCGTCCTTGGTGAGTTGTTCCTCCTCCCCGTCATTGGTGAGTTGTACCTCCTCCCCGTCCTTGGTGAGTTGTTCCTCCTCCCCGTCCCTGGTGAGTTGTACCTCCTCCCCGTCCTTGGTGAGTTGTACCTCCTCCCCGTCCCTGGTGAGTTGTACCTCCTCCCCGTCCCTGGTGAGTTGTACCTCCTCCCCCGCCTTGGTGAGCTGTACCTCCTCCCGTCCTTGGTGAGTTGTACCTCCTCCCCTGTCCTTGGTGAGTTGCACTCCCCCGTCCCAGAGTTGTACCTCCCCCGTCCCTGGTGAGTTGTATCTCCTCCCGTCCCTGGTGAGTTGTATCCTCCTCCCCGTCCCAGCAGAGTTGTACCCTCCCCGTCCCGGTGAGCTGGTACCTCCCGTCCTGGGTGAGCTGGCATCCCAGAGTCTCCTGTCCCTGGTGAGTTGCACTCCTCCCGTCCCTGGTGAGTTGTACCCCCGTCCTGGTGAGTTGTACCTCCTCCCCGTCCCTGGTGAGTTGTACCTCCTCCCCGTCCTTGGTGAGTTGTACCTCCTCCCCGTCCTTGGTGAGTTGTACCTCCTCCCCGTCCTTGAGTAACACTGTACCTCCTCGTCCTTAGTAAATGAACATTACCTCCACCTCGTGCTTAGTGAGGATGTATCAGTCTGTCCTTATAATTTAGATATATCCAATGCCTACAACACACACACACACACACACACACACCTACGTTAACAAGATTATTCCCAGCTTATGCTATTATCCAGACACATATTCATTGTAACAGCCACCAGTGTCAATATCTTTGGTGTAACTCAATAATAAACTGACCTGGAAACAACTAGGCTTCTTATCTTCCAGGTCGTCCAGTGTTCATATCTACAAGGATTAGATAACATTTAACCGATAGTTTAGTCCTCTGATTAATTGCTGCTAGTTAAGTTCCTCCCAACTTCCTCATGATGGTCGTTTTCTTCAACTGTTTTAGGACTTCAATGTCAAGGCAACAGTCGACGGTCTTCTGCCCTCTGAAATTCCCTGCAGATTCAATTTAGTCGAACTTTATCATCCCTTTCACTTCTTCCGTTTTTCGCAAATGATGTTCATGGAATTCCTTTTCGTCTCACTTTTTTCCATCCGTCAACGACTTATACAACTAAACTCTATAACATTACTTTGGATATCTTCAGGAGCAAGTTATAACCTGGTGGTGGTGTCGCCTTGTTGTTGCAGGATGTTCTCGAGTTCTTCTTTCAACTAGGCTAAGACTGTGTGATCTTCATTCAGGATGATAATTATTAGGGTTGTTCGTTAGGGCGCGGGTGTCTAAGGTGACAAACATATAACACTGGTTGAGTGATTTCAACCATAAAAGAGGTGATCCCGCCAAACACTGCTTTCCATTCAGGACGGACTCGAGACAGCCATGGTTTAGGGCAGCTTTTCTAGTTACCTCCCTGTTTTGTGAGAGCATTAGTGATCCTCAATAGTTCAGTCGTGGTCTTTGTTGCCAAATTGAACTCATCTCCCGTTTCTAAACAAGTGGACGAAGCCTCCACACAAGCTTGGCATGGCTGGCTTGAACACACAGTACTGCTATACTGTAGGTTACCGTGACAGTAAAATTATCCTCTAAAGTAGACACCGTCATGTGCACCTACTTAGTGCATCGTAAAGTTAGAATAGGGTTAATGATATTATGCACTTAAATTTATCATGGCTCTTACCTATGCCCCTCTTACCTGGAAGACATGCTGGCCTTACAGTATTTTCCACAATTCTATACATAAAATATGAAAGGGTAATATTCATATTTTGTTATCGCAGTAGTGCTCCGAAGGAAATATGGACTGCATTCCAATGCCTCAGAAACATGTATATTGTACCAATAATTCGTTGGTGCTCTTGTCATCGTATCATAATTAATTCAACACGTGTGATGTTTTCTTTCATTCCAGAACTTCCAAGGTCACCAGTTCCAGGTAGTGACGCTTGTGTACGAACCCTTCAGCTGCTATCATAAGGAGGGTGACATCATCATTCCGGCTGATGACTGCGTTGACAATAACATGCTTAGGGAAATGTCCAAAACACTCAACTTCACTTATGAGTTTGTGGAGCCCAGCGATGGTCAGTGGGGACACAGGCTCCAGAATGGCAGCTATACTGGTAAAGAGTTACACTTCTTTGTGGGTACAGTACATGGTGTAACAATACGTATAAATCGGGCAGTGTACTCTTCACAAACTCTGTATTGTAGTTATTCTCTTTGTGCTAGTCCCAAGCCCTCAAGTACTGCGTCACTCATTTCTTTACGACAGATGCGTGCATTTTGAGCCTTTTATTATTATATTTAATTTTCATTGTAAATTCCAATAGTCTGTTTTCCTGCCTTGTTCCAGTATACAGTATGTATGCCCCCGTGTGTGCTTCTTTCTGGTGTTTGCAAAGTCACAAGAAAAAAGTAACAAAAAAAAAGGCACGGAAAAAACCTAGCCTAACTTAACCTAACCTACACCTACGTGCAATGCCATCGTATATATTTTGTGTTGTTGATGTGTACACGTCATGTGACTTTTTTCCTGTGACTTTATTTCCGTTCACCGAAATGTCTTCGGCTAGTGTCATGCTGTTTGTCAGATCCCCGGTGTTATGGTCTTTCATGGTTTGTTATTTTCCTCGGATGATATAAATTTCTGTGTAGCAATATCACACTATGGCTTAATCTCACCTGGCCTGGATGTATGCTCAGCTCTTCTGTCCAGTATAAATGACCCTTATCCTTAAAAAAAATGTAATCCTCTCTACCGCAGAAGAACTTATTGTGCCGTTTTCTCCTCAGTAGCCACGCTTGCCCACTTACAGTACCATTCTCATAGGCGGCTACAGTCCATTACGCCAAACGGTTTTGTGATGTCTTTCCAGTTTTCTTATCTCTCGCGTCTGGTGACCTTAGCTTATAATTTCATTCATCCATTTCAGTCTCAACTTCTCCCTAGCTCCATCTAGTCCTTCAGTTTTGCTCATTAACAGCTGTACCATTATTATCATTCCGTCTTTAATTATGGCCAATGTATCCCATTTTCTTTAGTCTATTAGTTTCCAGTATTTCTCTTGTTACTCCAATCAATCTTAGCCTTACTTTTTTTTTGTCAGAATAACATCAGACCACCTGAAGATTAGTTTTCAGTTTATTTTATGTTGATTTAGCACCCTAACATAACCTAGGTGGGTTTGGTTAGGTTAGGTCAGGTCAGGTCGTCAAAATCCTTCGTCCGTTGTGTTATATTGTCTCACAATATCGTAAAGATACTTTCTGGAGCGAGTACCACCCCCGCTACTTTATAGCTAAAGTCGTGTTTGTATTGACTTAAACCTGACGAATAATTATTGGTGCAGGTGTAATTGGCTCAGTGGAGAGGGTGGAGGCAGACTTCTCCCTCAACATTGCCATCACTCAGGACCGAGAGGAAAAGGTCGACTGTACTATAGGCTACCATGTTGAGCCCATTACCTTCGCCACTTCCAAACCTCGTCTCCTCAACCAGGCTTTGGCGCTTCTTAGACCTTTCACCCCCGAGGTAAGACTTGGTAAGGATGAAACTGCCAGTGAGGGAAACATAACTCAAGAAAGTTGTTGATGAACTCTACCTGAATTCTGACAGTGTTTTTTGGTTTACGAAAAATATAATGTTTTTCTCTGCTTGTTTAGATATTAAGGTTTGTTATTTTTTTGAGGAAGACGCTCTTTCTCTACACGAATAAAAAATCGAGTATATAAGGTATTACCTTCAGAAACACAACTTATACCTGTAATCAATATATATTTCATGTAGATCCACAATGAAAACGTGGATAAGATAAATCTTGATAAAATCACACGGGAAAAGGGAAACAACGGAGCACCTTAGCTTTCGTCTTTATTCAAGACATCTTCAGAGGCCTCTGAAGATGTCTTGAATAAAGACGAAAGCTAAGGTGCTCCGTTGTTTCCCTTTTCCCGTGTGATTTTATCAATATATATATATATATATATATATATATATATATATATATATATATATATATATATATATATTTATTTATTTATTTATTTATTTATTATGGATCGCCTTAGGATTAGACAACCCAGTTTATTTCACCTAGATGTTAATCGCCTTAATGCCAAATTCATCAGCACAAAGCCCTGCCTGTGGAGCCCGAACATTTACTACACAAGCCATACTAATTAGAAATCAAAAGACAAAAGGTATGTGAGGACAGGGATGGCCGGTACTATCCAATCATACAGTGCATACACTACTGTAAGGACTACAAAGTACGTCATTTGCTAACTTGCGCGGATCAAAGGCTTTCTTCTTGACCGCTAGCAGTGTGTGGTGACTAACGGCACATCTATACTCTTCTCCATACAAATGTGTGCGGATGATACTAGGTTATTCAGGGAATTTAAGAACAAAACGGACTGTGAAGTGCTATAGAAAGATCTCTGTCAGCTTCAGGACAAAGCAATTTTTACCGTAATGAACAATGGTTGATTGAGAAAATTCAAGAGACGTCTCTTGTATTGAGATCAGTCAAAATTCGTGTTTATCTTGTGGGGTTATGAGATATTGGTTCACACTCAGGATGGGTTGGAGAAAGGAAACTCACAATGTGCTCTCTGTATACATATTGTATTGGGTGTACAATGCAGCTTGGTGCTGGGGAGTGGCAGTGTGTGTCCAAGCGTGGTGTAGAGAGAGTTGGTTGGTGAGGGTGCTCAGAGGAGGACAGGCAGCTTGTAGGGCGCCATGGTCGCCGGCGGGAGCGAGGGCCACCAGGCAGTAGCAGCGGAGGAGGTGTTGCTTGCTTGTGACTGTAGGTAGAAAAAGGGAGGTCACGGCGGGGTGAGGTCTTATATAGCAGGGGTAGGCGTGGGTTGACAGTTGACCTCCGTCTTGTTAGGCGGCGCTGGTTGCCGACCTAGACCACGTACGCTGGGGAATTCGAAGAGGGTCGGCTGGTCAGCGACACGGCGGTTGTAGGGGAGGAATCCATTACAATCTCACCGTTATGATTACACATGAAGTAAAATAAAAGGGAAATATTTTCATAGTGAACGAGTGTAATGTAACGTGGAGGCCCAGTACTGTACTGTACTGAATCCAGGGGAAAAAAAAGTCCGAAAAAAGGCACGGTAAAAACCTAACCTAACCTACGTGCTATGCCATCATATATATATATTGTGTTGTCAATGTCTTCAAGTCATGTGACTTTATTCCCGTTCACCACTGTACTGTACTGTACTGTACTTTCACATCAACACCTTCCTGCTCTCTATTGCCACATTAACAACAACTTGGGTAATAAAATGCTTCCAAGGGTGGTGTTGTCTTAGCGAAAATAACGAGAGAGTACTGACAAGTGTTTATTTGGATAATACAAGAAAATAAACAAACATATTCAAACGCCACAGAAAGAAAGATAATGCGAGGCTTTCAACACTTCCCGCGGGAGCTGCATGACTTACTGTATCTCTCGGCGTATTTCCTGTCTAGTTTTTTATTATTAGTAATATGAATCATATATGATTCCTATGTGACCACTAGACTCCATGGTGCTTCTAGTTCTTCCATAATACAATACTTTCAACCTATACATAACTATGAATTGTTAGACTTTGGTAGCTTAGCATTATGAGATTTTGGCTAAGAATTGCTCGGCGTACAGAACTGTAACCGATGTTGCGCTGTTAATTTGGGATCACATGAAGATTAGTCCCATAGCTTATTTCACCAAAAGATTTAAACATCCTAATATACGTTTACCCATTTTAAAATCGACCAAAAATGTTGAAATTGTATTTTAATACATTAGGTACCGTAATACTTGTTACAGAAAGAGGACACGAGTGAAAATTAGAACATGAGGCATATATGAGCAAGATAGATGTGTGTTTTGTTGCAGGTATGGCCACAGGGTTAACAAGACAGGTGTGTGTGTGTGTGAGGTTGTAAGTGTACTCATGGGGTTAATTAACAAGACAGGTGAAACACGAAGAGTTCAAGCTCAGGTGTTGTGTTGTTGCTTGCAGGTATGGGCAGCCTTCGTCGCTACCTTGGTCATGGTGGGACCTTTCTACTACTTGGTGTGTCGCTGGTCCTGCTACCACCTCACGCCCTCCCCTCCCTCAGCCATTAAGGCATCCCTCCTGGTCTTCGGCGCCTGTTTCAAGTTGGTTCTGATCGTTACATTAATCCTTGTGCTTTAATTGCATGCTCCACTTAATGCTGTGCACTTTACCTTGATGCTTCACTTATTGCTGTGCACTTTACCTTAATGCTCCACTTATTTTGGTGCACTTTACCTTGATGCTCCACTTATTGCTGTGCACTTTACCTTAATGCTCCACTTATTTTGGTGCACTTTACCTTGATGCTCCACTTATTGCTCTGCACTTTACCTTAATGCTCCACTTATTTTGGTGCACTTTGCTCCTATGGTCTTCTGTTCACGGCTGCTCATTCCTGGATGTTGCTGTGCTAATCCCTCTGTTAGTTGAGGATCACCTAAGCTTACTCCCTAGCTGATAAGACCTGATGATTAGATATTCCGATGCTGCCTGGGGCGTTAGGTTAGGTTAGGTTAGGTTTGGCTAGACTGTGTCACATATTAGATTAGATTAGGATATATTAGATTAGATTAGGTTAGAGTGGGTTAGATTAGGTTAGAGTGGGTTAGATTAGGTTAGAGTGGGTTAGATTATATTAAGGCAAGTTAGATTAGTTTAGGTTATACAAGGAAGTATTATGGTCAGTACTGCAGTCAAATTCCTTTAGTTTACCATATCTATCCCGACTGTGTAAGGGCGGATCCAGGAGGGGGGTTTGGAGGTCCGAACCCCCCTTTTCACCAGAAAATTCCAATACTTTTTTTTAATGCAGTATTGTACTCGGGCATTTTTGTGAAGTAAAAAGTAATTACTATTGACTTCAGAATATCACCTAATATCAAGTGCACCTGGCTTCAAAATGGCTGCGCTCGCCATGCCCCCCCCCCTCCTGTAGTAGGAAAATATGGCACAGAAAAAAATGGCACAGAAAAAAATGGCACAATTTTCTTACTCGGAAAAAATGGCACAGCATATTTCACTTCACAGCGTATTAGAGTTAATGTTGGTAACTTGTTAAGTCCCCTTTGTTTCGCCCTGACTTCCATTTATACACCTCGATCATATCGCCCCTCACTCTACGTCTCTCGGAGGATTCTATATCCATTCTGTAGCACGGTGACCAGAACTGAACTGCGTAATCCAAGTGAGGTCTCACAAGCGCAAGATGTAGTTTTAGGATGACCTCGCTACTCTTGTAACTAACACTCATTCCTTTCAAAGCTTTCTTTACTTCCTCTACTACCAGGTCGGTTGGGCACAGCCACCCAACTATCTGGCGTTCCATCCAGTGGATCCAAGCTGACCATGCTGTTGTATCATCTCACAGCATGAAAGAATCTCGTGGTGAGCCACCCAGGAAGAGCCAAAAACGAGTTTACAAGAACCTCCAGACAAGGCTTAAGACTCTCTGCCATGACCCTCCAAGCTGGTCGCAAGTCAGTCCAAGAGTTTTTGCAAGGCGCTGGCTATAACATTCGTTGGAAATCTTCAACAATAATATGCAATGTGACATTTCAATTTTGTAATTCTTTTATGTACGAGTTTTCACTAACATACGGTAGAATGTTTTGGTTAAAGGTAATAAATGTTTGATGTTATGACGTTGATATAACTAAGTAAGTTTCAGTAACAAACGTTATAAAATTTTTGCGAAAACATGTCAATACAAATTAATGTGCCATTTTTTCCCAGTCTGATGATTATGGTTTTTTTTTCCAGTGCCATATTTTCCTATTGCCATTTTTCCTGTGCCATTTTTTCCTACATTCTGTTCCCCCACCCACAACTTATTGGACTACCCTTTCGATATTCCTGGATCCGCCCCTGTTGTGCGGCAGCAAGTACAGTACAGGAGACGTGCGTTGTATTCTGCTTTATCCCTATTCATTTTGTAAACATAATACATAATAGCTAACATCTTTGTAGTACAAGATTGCCCGTATTGTTAACTTATAGTTGTGGTGCTTTAAGTTAAAACACAACACCCAACTTTTTTAATTTGTCTCAACGTGGGATGGTCTCTGATACCAACCAAGGAGTGTGCTGGATTTTCACGGATGCAAATGTGATAAGACTATAACATGTCGGAGGCTATCAGTACCATCCATAGAGGTGAGAACGCCTATGGAATGACAAATTGTTTATAGATCCCCATGGTACAACTTTCATCTGTCAGCTTATAATCCAGTGTATATCTGTATCATTATGTGTTTGTATTAGTTGTGTTTTAGTTATATGTGTGTATGTGGCCCTTCCCAGATACTTACCCTTATCCGACTTGGCTTTCTTTACAGCCAGAGTGTGAAGTGGGTGTCAGGTTTGTGTCCCCGAATGTTCATCATGACATACGTGCTTACCATGTTCGTGGCTGTGACTATGTATGTTGCCATGCTCACCGCCACTCTTACCCTCCCCGCACTCTCTCCCACGCTGAACTCTCTGGAGGAACTCGTCCAATCAGACTTTTCGTGGGGCATCCAGGTATAGTATTGTACTAGCCAGTCCAGAGCATCAAACAGAGATAGCATTAACCCCTTCATTACGAGTTTTCATTTAACAAGTCATTTATTACCATAACAACTACTGTATAGGTCTATCTAGATTTGCTCAGGTAAGGTTTAATTAGATTTGTGATGATACTTTTCATTTATAGATTTTAGTATATTATGAGATCTTCTTGATCGTCCCTATGTACAGGTCACTTGGTCAGTTTCAATTATCCCTGTTTAGAATAACGTAAGTAATATACATATATGGAATACATTCTGTGTGTGTGTTTGTGTGTGTGTGTGTGTGTGTGTGTGTGTGTGTGCTTTCTCTCAGTTTTGAAGATAGAGAGCTGAAATTTGGTAGGGAGGTGCGAAGCCGGGCAATTCACCTGGTTTGATTGTATGTGTGATGACCAGGACCTGGGCGCAGCCGATTACCAATTGCTGAAGACTTCAAAGGTTCCACTGTACCAGCTTGTTTATCAAGGCCTAGAACCCTGCCCTTCCCTTGACGAGTGCATCAACCAGGCACGAGACACCAAGTATGCCTTCATCACCTGGAGGACCTACTTGGAGGACCGCATCGCTGTCAGGTAACAACACAACCTACACTTGTACTCTACCTAGTTACCATAATCCTACAGACTCTCTCTTTCTCTCTCTCGGTCTCAGTTATTATTATAGGTTGGGTATTAATACATAATATAATAAAGGGAAATGAATAATACAGCTTTAATTTGAAGAGGCATTTTCTATAGCTTGTCTTGATTTGATTACCTAACACAGTGTTCGTGTGAAAATGCGAAGGTGTGACACCTTCGCATATTCACACTTTTCGTTCTCGTCTAGACAGCTTCACATATCCATGAACACAAAATTACACCAAATATAGGCATACGCTTGTAATGTAGAACCACATGCGTACATTAAGTTGACCTGTCTTTCAGAGGAGGAAGGATGACACACAAACACACACAACCTAAGATGTACTCGAAGGTAACAATAAATATCATAGTGGCAATACGTGTATTAGTGCAAATCCTTATGTATTTACACTTGATCAGTTTGTTGTGTTTAAGGTACATTTACTAATGTACTGGTACAATGCCATTCTCTCTGTTCCTCTGCCCTCAGCAATACTGAGCAGAACTTCTCTTGTCAAGGTTCACGAGTGCCACAGGGGAGCGTCAGCTGCATGTGGCCACCGGAGACATCTTTCCAGTGGAGCTGGGCTGGGCCATGAATCCTGGCTGTCCTTATCGTCATGTCTTCAACAGCAACATCAGATCCTTCCTCCAGAGTGGATTAATTACTAAAGTATGTTCTTTCTTGTGATGTTTGTGTATGGTGTGCAGAATGTCTAGGTAGAAGAGTCTTTGTTGGCGGTGGTGGTGAGCAGAATGTCTAGGTAGAAGAGTCTTTGTTGGCGGTGGTGGTGAGCAGAATGTCTAGGTAGAAGAGTCTTTGTTGGCGGTGGTGGTGAGCAGAATGTCTAGGTAGAAGAGTCTTTGTTGGCGGTGATGGTGGGCAGAATATCTAGGTGGAAGAGTCTTTGCGCTACTGAACATAATTAAAATACTGTACTGTAGTTCTGGTTTTTTTCTCCTGTAACATACAGTAATCCATATAAAGAGTAATTCACGTCAGCTTATGATATCTTAGTGGTGTTATTTTTCTAAAAAAACATTAATTGCTATTCTCTGCTCGTGGGATAAACACAGGAAATTATTTTTACAGTGGCTAAAAGACCTAATCAACGACCCCCAGCGACGGGAGGTGGACCAAGCAGAGGAAAAGATCGAGGAATCTAGCCAGGCTCTTGGGATGCACCACCTCCAGGTACCAACATTCTCTTTAAAACTATTGTTAATGTCCCCTTCCCCTTTTGATGTTACGGGTAAGTACTTTGTGAAATCTGCCCCCTCCCCACCCTTAGTAGCTTATAAGCTGTCTGGGTGTACCTGACAAGGCAGCCTACAAAGATTTTAGGACTTCATTAAAAAGATCTGAGGATGTGCCAGTAAGCAGTGGTTCAATACCTAGAGCCCACAGTTATGTTTATTGATCGCATCTTCTTTCAGTCTAGTGTTGTAACTCTTATTCTGGTCATCAAATACAATGTCTTGCAAATACACTTCAAAATTTCAAACCATCAAAAGGGGTAGAAATAACATTACAGTTGATCATAAAAGGTGGAGGATTTTTTCCTCAGCTAAGATACGTGAAGTTGGGTAACGCTAGAATGGTTGACATCGTTCATGTGAGAAAGATTTTGTTCAGTGCAACATCAGTTGTAACATACCGAGGAACATCTGTTGAGTGTCTCGACCGGCATAGCCTAGCATAATTTAACTTATTCTACTTTATAGTCTGGCTCTCTTATGATGGTAAACGTCGTCTAACATGAAAAAGTAAATTTAATTATATACAAATTATTTTTCTCTAAGGTGTAGCTAAAAAGGTTAACCTTACTTGATAAAAACGTCTGTTGCTTTCTAAAGCTTAATCGGCGATTATCCTTACTTATATAAGATTTACAAATATCTGCAGTGTCCTTTTCCTTAAGGTTTTATATACTCGTATATCTAACATGTGTGCTATTGTTTGTCATGGTATAACTAAGATCTCTTTATGTTAGGTAGTAGGCAGCTACCAAACAGGGAGGTACTACCGCCTGGGAAGATATTAGAAGCATAATCTGCTGTCTAATGGTAGATCCTGCTGCCATATGGCACCACGAAAATTGTGACCAAGTCCCAGGTTGCTGACCTGACTTTCTACCTCATTTACACACAATTGCAGGGTCTACATTGTTTCTCTTACCATTGACAACACAACATACTGTACATATATTGTTTCTCACTCTTGATTTTTATTAAAAATTTTGTATTTCTTATGGTTCTTTATTATTATTATTATTATTATTATTATTATTATTATTATTATTATTATTATTTTATTTTTATTACTGTATAATTTTTATTTACTATGAATTATTATTATTATTATTATTATTATTATTATTATTATTATTATTATTATTACTACTATTACATTTTCGCCCCCCAGGCCTCGATGTGGGTCAGTGACCTGTGCCCGGGTGGGCTAATCCCCGTAAAAAAAAAAAGTGTTTTAGTTATTGTTTTGTCAGGTGATCAGTGGTTTAGATGACATATGTAATTTAATGTTTGATATATTTGTGATGTTATTTGTCACGTTACATGTCACTAAGACTTGTGTGATATGCCAAAAGGTATAAATTAATTAAGTAGACTAATGGGTGTTTTGTGTGTACATTGCAGGGTGTGTTCTTCCTGCTGATAATGGGGGATGCCCTCTCTTGCCTTATTTTCCTCTCTGAACTGACACTCCACAAGACCAACTCTCTCTCCCCATATGTCCAGTAACACTCCCCAAGACCAGCTCTTTCCCTATGTATTCAGTGAATGTGAAATTGAGTCCATTTACCCTGAGAGTCTGTTAGTGGTAGTGCAGATACAACAGATTAAACCCTTTCTTCTGTACACAAGGAGGTAATATGGCCGCCACTATACCTGGTTGCCTACACTTTCCATGCACACTTAGATGATCCTACTGTAATTGTCACCAAGTTAACAGAAACTTAATGTAATTTAATCATAAAATTTTTAAGTATTGATGAACATTGCAGTTAATGATTAAATATAAATTCCTAACAGATACGTAAACAATAGCAGGTGTTTTAAGTTGATGTAAAATGTACATCATTTCTTGGCAAATTCAGAAACTTAATCTTTCCTATCAGTAAATGTAACACTTGTTCATGTAAGGTTACTGATGAGAAAAACTTGAACCATAGTTTTACTCAGTTTGAGGATGAATTACACATTGAAGATATGTATAAGAAGGACACGAGGTGAGGCAACAAGTGAGTGGCCTTCAGGAGGACTTGAAGCACATGTACAGTCTCGTTCAAGATTCTTCGAACACTGCTGGAGACAGCTGGCAACTCAAGGGCCGTTTGTTTACTATAGTACGTACTATAATATAATACGAAACAACAAAAGTCCTACCATTAATTAAGCAACGGGGAACTAAGTAACCAATCACCGATAACCTTTTACAGTCATTCATAATTTTTACTACTTACTATAGTAAGCAAACGGCCTTGAGTTGCCAGCTGTCTCCAGCAGTGTTCGAAGAATCTTGAACGAGACTGTACACTCGCTCTAAAAAGTATATTTTACGATTTTGTGTGTTGCAATATAACACAACGGACGAAGGATTTTGACATCCCTATCGTACAAGAGTAACAGTGTTTATTTTTAAATTCATCCGACCCCACCGTAAAGATACTTGTGGAGAGAGTACCTTACAGTTATACCGGTACTGACATAAGGCTGATGGAAGTTCGGGATCTTTCTCAACACAAAACAACATGGTCGTTTATGGGATCATCAGTATTTCATGGGATAAGGTTAAGACCAAGCGGCCGGAAAGTAAACTAAATAATTACCAGGCAAGGCATAGAAATAGGAAGACGAAGAAGTCGGCGAAATCTTGTGTTATATTGTTATGTTCATTTTTTTTAGCAGATGTAATGGGGTCTCAGTATTGTGCAGCCATTAAGTGCTCAGCCAATTTTGTAAGGAACAGAAACCTGTCTTTCTTTCGGTTTTCGAAAGATCCAGAGAGGCGAGTCGTACACCTACTTCTTTCTGTCACTGTTGACCGTTCATAGTTTTTTGTTTTTTTATTATTTATTTATTTATTTAATGCATTTAGCACTGATAAAATTCCACTATTCAGAATTGCTACTTAACATTAGAAATAAAATGAGCAGGATACTGTTGTATTGTCAAAAATATAATGCTGGAACTTTGAAGTTTTGGCTCATTAGTTTTGGTACCACCCACGACTTTTTGGACATTAATTATGTGTTTCCTGTACACTTTGATGTGGTTTGAATGGATGTCACAATCATTTCTTGGGCAAGTTCATGAAAACCTGATCAGTCCAACCCAAATTGTGTGGTAAAAACACACAAAAACCAAACCAAACCAAGCCTAACCTAACCTGACCTAGCTTGGAGAAGAACGTGCCCATAAGTGCTCGTGTTAGTGAACATAGGAAATGGCCGCTGTGGATCGTTGTGTTGTGGGGGAAGAGGGACGGTGTGTGAGGAAAGACGACCCCCTTGGCCACTCTGTTAAGTCAGCTGGAGCAGTTGAGGAGAGAGATAGACGCTCTAAAGGGGTAGAACAAAGTCCTCAGGATTGAATTCCTTCAGGTAGGTGTCCTGCTAGGTAGGACACCTACCTGAAGGAGGAGCAGGCGTGGAGAGTGGTTGTCTCCAAGGAGACTAGGGTCAGACTCAGGAGAGTTGACCAGGGTGTGGAGTGCAGTAACCCCTACCAAGTGTTGGAAGAAGCTGGCGAGGAGGAGAAGAGGCAGGACGGTGTGGTGCCAGGAGAAAAAAAGGGCAGTTGTTCAAACCCTGCCCAGTGGTAAGGTCGTGGTAGTTGGGGACAGCCAGGTGAGGCTTTTAGATAGGACTTTTTGTGCAAGAGATAGGAAACGTAGGACTAGAGTGTGGTTTTCTGGGGCTGGGATAGGGCATGTAGTTGAGTGGATAGACAGGGTTTTATCAGGGGAGGGTACCAAGCCAGCAGTGTGTCTTAGTGTAAGAGGTAACGACATAGGAAAGGTTAGGAGTGAGGAACTTTTCAAGAGGTATAGGGAGGCGCTAGGGAAAGTTAGAGATAGGGGAAGGATCCCGATAGTATGTGGTGTCTTGCTTAGAAGAGGAGCTGGTGGTGAATGGCTGTCCAGGGCAATTGCTATAAATTGCCGACTGGATAAACATTGTGCAAGCAATGGTTGGGCGTTTATTGATAACTGGCGACGATTCTATGGCAACGACTACCTGTACAGTCGTCGTGGAGTACACTTGTCTCGTGCTGGGGTAAAGACGTTGTCTGCATCCCTGGAGCGAGAAAATGTCACTCCAAAAGGGGGGTTTCGCCAGTAGAGAGAGGTCGGGGTAAGTGGGAGTCAAAAAACAAGCAGGTCCTGGGGAGTAAAATTAGTTACTCAGGACAAGGGGTAAAACAGGACCAGGGAAGGGTAGGTTTAAATGTATACTATAAAAACAGTAGGAGCATTAGAAATAAAATAGACTTGCTGAGAGCGGTTGTATGTACCGAGAATGTAGACGTCATCGCAATCACCGAAATTTGGATGAATCTGGCGAGCAAGAACTTTTTCTCAGAGTACCACATAGAAGGGTACAACCTTTTTCACAAGGACAGGGAAGGTAGGAAGGGGGGAGGGGTTGCACTCTTCGTCAAGGATACATTAAAATGTTGTATTAATAATTCAATAAAGGTTGAAATAGGAACCGAGTCTGTATGGGTAGAAATCACGGAAGGAAGAGAAAAACGAATTATGGGAGTGATATACAGGCCCCCAAGT